GGAGGCTTATGATCTGAATGTTACGTAGAGTGTCTTGGGTAATGAGACACCTTCTGTTTTTAATGACTGTGGTTAGGCCACCTAACTGTAGGGGTAGCACACATGTCGGCTTTTCTCCCTATTTAACTTTACTGACTCTATAGAAGTTACTGTAGCTTTGCTTCGGGATCATGTCCCTAAAAAAAAGAGCGTGTGTTCCAGACAGAGAGCCATCGGTCTAGACTGACAGCTCTCTGTCTGGAAAAGAATGTGTGTGATCGTTCACTCAGTCGCCGATTTGACATAATAAAAATTTTGTTCTCCTCGCCGGCTGGGTGTTCGAGAAGTGAGTCCTGGACACCGAGCCCATGCTTGCCGCACATGACCTCGATGTTCAGAGTCCGCGTTTGATCAATATTTGATCTGCCGGAAGGGCCTATGCCTGCTGGCTGGTATAGAGTGCCTGACGGGCCTTTTATACATTCTTATTTGTGTTATGTAAATTTTTGTGATGTAACGGGTGTTCTTGTTTATCTTGAAGATGACATGACATTAATTAGACAGTCAGCGATTTTTGTTTTTTAAAAACTAAGTCTATCTATGCTAATACCTTAACTATAGAGTGTGCATTCCCAAGTGTATAACGCTCTCACACACTCCGTGCATATGTTGTTTGTGTTTTTTGTTTTCTCTATTCTAATCTAAACCTAATTTAACCTACAGCCCACTCTTAAATGCAGAGAATGGTTTTAAGTAAGCAGGTATTGTCCCATACAATAATACCAAATTTTCAGACATAAATTTTGCACAGTAACAAATAACAGTATGATTAAATATTTTTGAAAAAACCCTAGATTATTTTCCAGCAATAGCTTCTATTCAACCTGATCGAATGTGTTGTCAACCTTCGGCTTCTCGTGATTCAAACAATCAGGTAACTAAAGAAACAGTTGAACCTAATATTGAAATATCAGCAGGTAACAATAATGAAAACATCCAGACACCTCCGAGTAAGAGTGATTTATCAATTTCTTGTCGTTTATTTTATAATGTAAAGCACACTTCCGACAAATCACACACATCTCCTTTAAAAGAGTTACGATCTCCAAGTGATATTCTTCCATTACCAAAGCAACATCAAAACTAACAAAAAAGGGTGGAAAATGTAGGCATGGTAAAACTGATATTATAACATCTTCCCCGTATGTGTTAGAGCTAAAGCAGAGTTTCGAAAAACCAAATACAGAAACCGTAAAAAATGTTAAACGAAATTTGAGCCAAGAAAATTTTAAAAGTAAAGCTAAAAAAGTTAAATCCCAAAAACATCGATGGAATCTGAAAGCTCTTTCGAAGAGTTCATGAATATATGCCAGGATTCTGATTCAAAAGAACTTATTTTACTAGAGGATGAACTCGAAACAACAGAGTTACTTCGTCGAAAAGATAAGGAATTTAAATAGGTAAAGAATTTGGTTATTTGCTCATTTATTAATTTATTACAATATAAGATTGCTACTTTATACCAATTGTGGGTCTTACCTTGTCTGTTAATACCTTTTATATATTCAAATTATTCATTTTGAAAACCACAGACATGTAATATTGGCATAATTACTATAATTTGTATGAACTAACTTATTTGTTTATTTTATCTTTATGAGACATCACCCTAATTGGGTTTATTTTATTGCAGCATTAGTTTAACTTTGTATCTCGACCTGAAGATGCTTTGCAAATTGTAGAAAGCGAAACCGGTCGTCAGATTGTTAAATTAAATTGATTGTGAGTAAGTCTTATTATTATTTCTTTACCGATTTGATATGGACTCACACAAGCAACACATTCACATTCATGATAAGGAATTTACTTTAATACAGAAGAATATTGAAAAAGATGATTATGTCGTGGTAATTTTAACAGAGATAAGAAGTGAACAGCCAAGAAATTTGTTAGAAAAATTTAAGGGCAGTGTTTAGAAAACATCGACGAGGAAAACGCATATGACATAACTTACCTGAGAAACTACAGAAACCACCAGGTCTCATTTGTATTTCCAGATATACCTGACGACAGTGTTATTTTAAAAAGTAAAATTGTCGGCGTTCTCAAAAATTTTTCTGCACTTCGCCATGGAATAATTAAATTTTCATAAATGTTTTTATTATTTTTAAATTATCATTTGCAACAAATATTAGAATAGTTACCTTTGTGTTATTTTTCTTAATTAAATTTTTATTTTAAAGACTTTTTATATATGCTAGTTATATCTCACATTACCCCACCAACTATTTCACTTTACCCAACCGTGTGGGGCAAAGTGAAAAAAAAGACAATGCCTGACCAACCCTCGCATAACAAAAAATTTACTGACTTAATTTAATTTATATTTCAAGACAATGATCATAACGTTGCCGTTATAAGATATGTTTTTTACAAAATCTTATTTCGAAAAATGTAGTTTAGCTATTCCACTTTACCCTACTCTCCCCTAGATAGGTAAAAACCATGTTTGTACGTTGGTAACTAGTGCGGACACTGAAAGAGATACATTTTCACATGGTTCCTTTTGGCAAAAGAAACATTCCAGAACATAACCATACTTTTATAATGAAGTTTTATGTTAATAAATATTATTATCTTACCTTATTCTGTAATATCCATATCAGAACTTGAATGGTAATCATCTGAAATCCCACTACTAAAATCAGCGAGTCCATCTTCAGAGAAGATGGACTTCTGGAAGATGGAAGAATTTCTATCAACAATATTATGACAATGTGAAATATGTGCACAGGAAGCCATCTTGGACTGGATAATGGTTCACTGTGGCATATGACAACCAGTACTACCACCCTTGTGCTCAATAGAATTTAATTCCAGCTAATGTTTTGTTTCATTCACATAGTTCATTTTGGTATAAGTTTGAATTGAAACAAAAGTTTCCCTCATAGTGGCAACAAAAAAGTAAAAACGAAGAAAATGTACATAGTTCACTCTGGCATGAGATCATCCAATGATTTCTTATATATATCTTACTTGATTAAGGTTAACAGCAGTGTGATTTTTTAATAAGATCAAGTACAATAGTTTGTGGATATCTATAATGTAGGTTGCAGCTATATTTGACATGTAACATTTAGTTTAAAAGGGTATACAATTAACATAAACATTTAAAATATTAGCACAAACACTATTCAAATTAAAAACAAAACAAACACAAAAACGTTTAGTTGAATGACTGTCATTAAGGTTAAGTACTAGAAATACCAAAATACCAAATGTTACTGATTGACTTATTCCAGAAGATAATTAGTTCCGTGTCATTGATGTCTTAGTTATTTGTTTGAGTAAGACTTACTGTAAAGGTGTGTTTTAGTTGAAATTTTTTTAAAATTACATTTTGTGTAATATTAACTATTTAATAGTTACGTGTGTTTAGTTATTTATGTTTGCTTTTTATTGTGTAATAAATAAGCATAAATCTCACTCAGATGCTCAACATCTGATTTCTTGTTTATTATTATATCCATTTGAGTGATAAATATCTCGAGGAAGAGTCTTTTATTGGGATTATTTTCCATTGCAAGAATCTTTGTTTAACTGTAATTCATATTGTGTTCATCATGTACGTATTTTGCAAGGGAACATCTATCACGATATAATCTGCTGTCACTCTTTTGGAAAGTGACACTACTTTTAACTGCCACTCTTTCGTCCAACAAAAGATCTGTACTGACCAAGAAAAATACTCAATACTGAATTAATTAATATAGTGCAAGTTTGTGTATTTATAAACGTAAGCTTTCTCAAGTACTTGAATATTGCTTCAACAATGGTTAAAGATGTACATGACTCTCATACTAGGCAAAATTTTCTTACAGGAAGAATACTGACTTCTGGTGCGCAAAGAAGAATTATTTTTAAATGGCTTAATCTTGTATAATAAACTACCCAGTTGTGTGAAGGAAAGTCCACCATAAAAAAAGTTTTAAAATAGAAAGACGGTTTAGATTTAGTTTCAATTCAGGGCATTTGTCATCTGTTTGTACGCAGTTTAACCTTATTAAGCCTCATCAGAGCGACATATGCAGAGGCTTTGAATCAAAATTAAATATCTCCCGTGACAGTACAATAATTATATAAATAACTATTTACAGTTGTTACAACAGCATCTAATAATAACATTAAAAATTAGATGGCATTTTAACGTATATTATTAATTATTTTTATAATTATTGTACTATAACGCAAGATATTTAATTTTGATTCAAAGCTTCTGCATTATGTTACTTGGGTAATACCTAATAACCTAATAAAGTTAAATTACCTATAAATTGATGTTAGATACCCTGCATTAAAATTAAACCTAATACCGTCTTTCTGTTTTATTTCTTTTCTCAGTCGGTTACAAGAAATTAATTCACTTAGGATTTATGCCGTGATTGCCGTCTCTTGTTGAGTAATTCATCAGTCTGTCTGCTTTGTATATTTTAGAATGCGCAATGGTCAAAATTCGAATTTAGTTTCGCCAAGTAGGACATCGTATGATTTCTAATGTTTTAATGATTTAAATTTTAACTAAGAAAATTGCTTATTTTATATTTTAAATTAATGGAAAAAACCCTTTCAGTTTAACACAGATTACTCAATTACATTTTGTAATTAAAACTATATATTACTTAAGCTTTTTAAATCCATTGTTAACGTAGAACTTACAAAACCAATATAGCTACGGCTCTTGTTTTAATAATGTGTATTTGAATTTAATCTTGTAGGTACATTGTGAAATAAATAAACTGAAAAGTAAAATAACAGCTGGCCCGTGTTCTATCACGTTTAAGATAACTCAAAACGTTTTTGTTTTTTAATCTCCAAATCTACTGAAGGTTTGTAGAATGATAATCCACTTTTTAGATTGTCGAGTGTTATAAAAAAACCCATAGAGTGTCTTTGATGATAATAAAGAAATATAATTATATATATTTAAAACACTTATTGTGACTTCTATTCATTTAATTACAGTACCACAGCACAAGGTTTTATATATATGATATAAAATGTCTATAAAAAACATAGATAAATTGTTAGAACCACATATTGGTGAAGGTAAACAGATAATTAGAACTGAAATAACCAACTTAGTCGAACCTGGAGAAAATTATGGTGGAGAATTATTTAAGATAGATGTTACCATACAAGAATCCAATACCAAGAAGGAGGAAGTCTTGCATCTTGTAGGTAAGTAGTCGTTTTTTTTTTTTTTATTTTTATAATGGCATAACATACTTCTTATTTTTATTTGCCAATACAAAAAAGGATAAAATAGTAGTTTGAGTAGTAACCAACAAAACATAGAAAATATAAGTACTTCAAAAAAAAATGTATTGATTCATGGAATGCTGTGCTGGAACAACGTTGTAATGCTTTGCTGGAACAACGTTGTAATTGTCAATACTTTCATATTATGTAGATTTTCCATAAAACAACGTTATATATGTGCAAAATAGTATACTGCTGACTGTGGGGAATAGTATTAGACTTAACTTGCCTGTTTTGGTAGTTTGAAATGTTAATCAACTATCAACTTTCGCTGTAACAACGTTGTATGTGTTAAAATGGGTTGTGTTTAGAGCTAAATTTTATGCATGTGTTTGCAAGTCAACGTTTTTAATCCTGTAATTTGTCATTTAGAGCTTACGTGGATGTTAGTATAACCACAGAATAATAAACAATCAGAATGTCCACTCTCAGATGCCGCCTTTGAAGTTTTTCAGCACGCGCGCCATGTTTTAGAAGAAAACACATAACACAGACATATGATTTGTGAGGTTATGTAATTGTTTATATTAATGTTTAATTATATTATATTTATGTTATTATATTTAACAATGTTAATATAATTGTATGGTATGTCTATGATTGCCGTAAGTCAATTAAACCGGGTTAATTTTTCTATGTACACCACATAAACAACACTCGTTCCCTCTAAAACATGGCGGAACGTCTGCGCGAAGGAGATGCGCGTACTTAAGTTTCCATGGAGAGTGGGCATTCTGAGTGTTTATTATTCTGTGGTATAACCAAGTAAGAGTTGAAATATAACCCAACTTAACAGAGGAAAAACACGAAAGCTTAGCATTGATAATTGGAAGTAGAATATAAGAAATCGTCACAGAGATGCTGGTGTTTCATACGTTTCGTCTAGAAAAGTACCCAAAAAAGCTCTAATTTGCTCAGATGAAGTAAGTTAAAGTAATCTAAACTAGTTTCATGCTTTAAAACAATATTTATTTTATTCGTTTATTTGTAAATGTAAGCAATCCGCTACGGGTTGTTCTGCTGAGTTATTATGTAGGTAATCACGCAAAACTATTTAAAACGTTTAGAAAACTGAGTTACAATGCCCAATCAATGTTTTTATCTCAGTCTCTTTCGCTGCAAGAGCCAGAAAGCAGAAGGATTGGAGAAGCAACATCTCGTCGTCAGTGTACAGTGAAATATACAGTAGAAAGTATACGTGTATGTAAAGCAACCATATATTATATATCTTCAATTTCTGCTAGGAGACTCCAGTGTCTTGTTAATAAAATTAAAGCACGAGTAAATCTAAATGATCAACGTGGCAAACATACTAATCATCCCAAAAAACTAATGATAGCAAATGCAGAGAATATGCAAACATAATTTCCGAAGTAAGAAAATAATTATAGCAGAAATGCTTCTTCTAAAAGTTTCTTTCCAGCTGATTTTAGCATTTCAAAAATGTACAGAATATTTTTAAAATGTACATTTATACAAAAAATCTCTCTACGAACTTACCACGATATTTTAAAAGTAAATTCAACTTGCATTTTGGACTACCCAGATCAGATACATTATTATATTAAAGAGAAGTGAGTCACCCTGTCTGACTCCGCTTTGTACTAGTATTCAGTGTGTTAGTTTCACATTTACTTTTGCCTATATTCGATTATGGAAGTAGATGTTTTCGATGGTTTGTATAATGTTGATTAATATGTTTCTTTTATACAGTAGGTGTAAGACATCTTTAACTTAGATGATCGAAAGTCTTTGTCAGGTCTATAAAACATAAATATGTTGATTTTTTCTACAGGACAGCCTTTTTTGTGATTTATGTTAGTACAAATACGGTGTCTACATAGAATCTTCCGGATCTGAATACTTGCTGTTCATCTGCTGAAGTTGTTAGTTTATTATGTTGGTTAATTTTGTTGGTTAAGAATTTTGTGGAAAGCTTTTTTTTATAGCCCTTTTTCTATCCGAATTGTCAAATGAAGGCCTCTCTCATTTCTCGCCATTCATCCCTGTTGTGTGGGACACATTTTCATTTTAATTTAGCTGCTTCTTTCGCGGCGTCCTTTATTTTTGTTTTGTTCCGGATTGCTTCATTCGTTTGCCGATCTACTAGTGAGATACCAAGCATCTGTCGTTCCATGGCTAGCTAAGTTTTTCGAATCTCGTCCCTGTTCTTTTTTGTAAATGTCCAGGTTTGAGCTCCGTTAGTCAGAACGGGAAGGATACAAGAATCAAACATTTTGGTTCAAAGGTTTTGGGGTATCTTTTTGTCTTTCAGTATGTATGAGAGTTTTACGAATGCGGCCCATCCCATTCTTACTCGTCTGCTTATTTCGGTAGTTTGGTTTTCTTTGTTTACCTTGATATTCTGACCCAGATATATGTATTCTTCTACTTTTTGTTCCACTTTTGTTCCTTGGATGGTTATCGTCGGTTGATCATCTTTATTCGACATTAGCTTAGTTTTACTCAGATTCATTTTCAGTCCTTTTTTTATGGATTCCGAATGAAGCTCATCGATCATCGTTTTCAGTTCTTTCCAGCTGTCGGCTATTAGTACTACTATTAGTACTACGTCATCTGCATATCTTAGATAGTTTAAATACTTTCCTTTTATCGATAGTCCCTTTGTTTCCCAATTTAGTGATTTAAAGATGTCTTCAAGTGCGGCAGTAAATAGTTTTGGAGATATGGGGTCTCCCTACCTTACTCCTCAGTTGATTTTTATTGGCCTCGTTTTCATTCCGTTATCCATCGTGACTACCATTTCAGCATGTTGATATATATTATGTATTAATATCCTATATCTAGAATCTATTCTACTTAGAATCTCTAGAATGTGGAAAGCTTAGTTGCGGTAGTAGATTATATTAGTAGATTTATACCTCTATAATTGTTGGGGTCTTCTGCATCTCTTTTCTTGAATATTGGTATTAATATGCTGTTTCTCCATGCGTCTGGTATCTTGCGGTACAATATTATTTTTTGTATAAGTTTTTTCATCTCTAGGGTTATACTTTCTACTCCGTGTTTTAGAATCTCTACTTCATGAAAACTGATTTCTATTTCGTGTCTTAATTCAGGTACGTTATTGTGTTGTTTTTTATTTTTCTTTTCTTTAAACAGTTCTGTTAGGTATCTTTATCATTCGTTTACTGGTATGTTGTTGTATTCCTCCAATTCCTAATTGAAATATTTCCTTTTAATATTATTGTAGAAGTATTTATGTAACCAAAGTAAAGTAAAAAATACTTTTGTAAAATTTTTTTTAAAGTTTTGTTTTTTAACTGGTATCTATAAAATTAAAGTTTGAGTATCCAAAAATAGTAGACATGCAATGTATTTTTGAATTATTTAAATATATAAAACATTTTAGGCAAGATCATTCCACAAAACGAACGAGCTCAAGTTGCATTTAACGTTCACTTTACATTTAAATCCGAAATAGCATTTTATGAGAAAATCGTACCGGAACTTCAAAAATTCCAGGAAAAAAATAAAAGCAAAGAAATACTTAATTGTTTTCCCAAATATTATGGAAGCAGGTTAAACTTAAATGGAAGTGACAAAGTTGACAGAGACGGTGTGATATTGCTGGAGAATTTAAAGATAAAAGGTGAGTTTCATGCTAGTTTCTTGTGACATTTTACTTTCTAATGTTTTATTTTTTTTTAAAAGTGCCTCTGTTGTATGACAATAGATATTTTATAAATATAATAGAAACTTCTGTACAATTTTCCTATTTGGATAGTTAGATAAGGTCAGTAGAAGGTGAATACTTCTATTTATTAATTTTAATTAAACTAAACCTTTAACTTAGAAATTAAACCAACACTACATCCTTTTGTAGATGCTTATCTTACTTAGGACCAAAAGTAACATGAAATAAGCTTAGTAACTCAAACATCTCTTTTAAAAACTTCAACAATAAGTCCATCTTTTGCTAAACTAAACAAAATTAAATGACAAATTAAAAATGGTATTGCAGTGAATAAAAAAACATATTATTATAGATAAATCAAGCTCTGGAAACCACCTCAAATTTAACAATAATATCTTTTCTACTTAAAAAAATAGTAAAATTTCACATAACATTCCAAATACAAAGTTTAGACAAACGAAACTTTTAGAAGCTCACGAGTTAGGTATCTAAAAAAATTAAATTGTGTCCTGATTGTTTCTTAAACACACAAGTTAATCTCTGTTGCAAGTATAAGCCTCTTTTTAACTTATTGTGAAAGACCTTAAAGGAAAAACACTGATCTCATGCAACCAAAATTAATTTTTTATTTAAATGACTTCCATCATTAGTATCACTAATATAACAATTTGGAACTGATCATTATTTGACAAATTATTTTGCCTTAAAACAAGAAAATATTTTTGAAAAAGTTTCACTATATACAATTATACATAGAGGATATTTTAAATCCAGTGATTGCCACAAAATAGTTTATGGCGCGGACAATAGAATATGTATGATCAGAGCTATGCAGTGGAGTTGCAATAATAAAAAAATTGAAAAGATTTGTATATATTTCAAACCGTATTAATCACAAAATTATTACTTACTTTTTTAATAATCAGAGTTTGATTTTACACAGACTGTTTTATCGATACCAAAATGTTTGGTCACATCAGCAACTTCCAAAGGAATCCAAAGGAATAGTTTATAATTTATTAAAATATAAAAAATACTATTTTCTGAAGATATCCGAACCAATATTAAACAACGTATGAGCGAAGCTACTGGATTATCTTTACGTTCAGTAGAAATTAACATTAATACAATAGAAAGGATCTTTCAAAAACAAATATTTTAACAAACGCAGATTCAAATAATTCACTAAAATGTTCAGCTACAATACTTACTAAAAACAAAACAAACGTGATAAATAGTTCATTAGAAATACCATTCACAGTTTTCATGAGACTAAACGTTGTCGTGTATCATTGAAGATTGTGCAAAAAAGGCTTAAAGGGGTGTACGAGTAGATTGGAAGTGTGGGTTCTCTATAGAATTGTGAAAGATTTTGGATTTTAATGAAAGAAAACGAAAAATATTCGACGTTTATTAATTAAATGTAATGACATTTTTATTCGACGCATTAAGTATTTGGACAAAATATAAAAAGTACAGAAGCGAAGTTAAGTTAATTGAATATGTTGATACAACCTAGGAATATAACCAGGACACACAATGCTAAATAGATAGACAGATGGCAGTGGCAAAAGATTGTTAAAAAATACTTCAAAAAGAAGTAGATTAGTTATCGTACATGGTGATGGGGAGATAAGTTTCATACAGAATGCCTTTTTGATTTTTAAATCAGGAACCAAGATAAGAGATTATTATGATAACACAAATTCAGTATATTACAAAAAATGAATGAAAAAACAATTAATCCCTTATATATTAGGATATGTTATTGTTACTGATAATGCGTCCTACTATAATAAACAAATTATTAAAGCACCCACCAGTAATTTTGGAAAAGCAAATATGATATCTTGGTTGTCAGAAAAAAATTTACCCTTTGTAACGTCAATGTTAAAGCCGCAATTGTATGAAAGTACCAAACGTCACACACAAGATTATATTCAATATAAATTTTACGAAGTACTGTACAAACGTGGACATGTTCAATTAAAACTCACGCCATATTATCTAGACTTGAACTCTATAGAAATGGTTTGAGCGCAAATAAAAAAAAACTGTTTTTTATTATTTTAATTATTTTTTTACCTTATTACCAATATTTCGTGTATTCTTCTATTTAACATCGTAAAGTTTCAGTGAGTCATAATAAGTAATAATATAAATATTAACGGTTTTAAAGTTCAAACAATCTTTGTAATTATTATTAGTTAATACTGTAATACGTATCTACAGTTTTATATACATATATTTAAAAAAGTATTGTCAAATATAATCTAATAATATTTTTTAAATACACTGTGTTAACCTATTTTTTATTTAAATCATAAATATTTTTTGGAACGCCACTGCTTTGTTAGCTCAGGCTTTACAGTTCCGACAAATTTCTGCCACTTCATTTGAAATACCTTTTACACATAATTTTAATTATTATTTTAGGGATATCTTGTAAATTAAGCCCGTTTTTTTACCTTAATCTTAATATCCTATGCATGATTCATGTCGGCAAGCATTTCTTGAAAATGTATTAAAAGCAGCATTGACTGCTAATAATTTTGTCTGCTGCTTCAACTCCAACGAAATGATGCTTTTAAATGTGTTTTTGTAGAATTTATTGAGATGTTTTTGTTTTGGAAGAAGTTTTGAATTAAAAAACTTTAAATTAACCCTTTTACTCATGAGTTCTTATGAAAAAAATAATGTCTACAGTTGTAGACATTTATTAGTAGTCAACTCTTTTTGTTACGGTGCCTTATTCTTAAGGACGTTGGCCATTATATTTGTCCATTTAATCTTATTTGTAGCAGCCCTGAATAGTTCTATGGAGGTCATGTTCGTCCATTGCCGTAGGTTTTTAAGCCAAGAGTTGCGTCTTCTTGCTGGTCCTCTTTTGCTATTGACTTTGCCTTCGATTATAAGTTGGAGCAGTTCATACTTTTGATTTCTTATGATGTGACCAAAATATTGTGTTTTTTCGTTCTTTTATTATAAGCATAAGCTCTCTTTCCTTATTCATTCTCCGCAAGACTTCCGCATTTGTCGTATGGCTTATGTAGGATATTCTGAGCATTTTACGGTAACACCAGAGTTCGAATGCTTGGATTCTTTTTTGTGTTGCTTCTGTCATTGTCCAGGCTTCAACACCATAGAGCAAAGTGGAGAAAACATAGCACTTAAGTATTCTAGTTCTCAATGAGATGCCCAGCTAGCGGTTGTATAGAACTTTTTGAATTTTATAAAACATTGTACCTGCCTTTTCCAGGCGTATTCTTATCTCTAGTGAGTGGTCCCAAGTTTCATCAAGATTACTTCCAAGGTACGTTGTTCTTGTTACTCTTTCCAGAACTGTTCCGTCGACATTGACCTTCACCCTTCTGTTTTGGTGCTTGCTGATGACCATCGTTTTTGTCTTCTTTGTATTCAATTTCATTCCAAATTCTCTACAGGCTGTCGTTACTCGGTCAATTAAGCATTGCAGGGCTTTAGCATTATCTGCCAGTATGACAGTGTCATCAGCATATCGCAGGTTATTTATACATTGTCCGTTTATAATTATACCATCCGAGGTGCCTTCCAAAGCTTTCTGAAATATCTTCTCAGAGTAAACATTGAACAGCAAAGGTGATAGAACAAATCCCTGTCTTACTCCCTTCTCGATATTGATTTTTCCAGATGTTTCGCTTTTTATTCTGATTTTAGCCTTTTGTTCTTGGTAGAGGTTTGAAATGATCCGTAAGTCTTTATCGTCGATATTACATGACCTTATGAAGTAAGTTATTAGTAGTCAATGAAATAAATTAAAATATTTATTGAAAAAAGAAAATACAGTAAAAATTTAAATAAAATATAAATACGTAATATAAAATGCAAGTATTAATTTTCCATGCAAATTTACGAAACAATTGCGATCTTTTTGAAGGCACAAATGCACTTTACATTTAGTGCAAGTCCATCTAGACTACCATTGCAGCTAACATTCTTGCACCGTCCAGGAAAGTATATCCTTTTGTACCGCTACAAGAGGCCTTACTTCAATCCTAGTTCGACTTAGTTGAATAGGGACGTCATGAAGGTCTTCCCACTTTCTTCCTGGAAATATCATTGCTCTGCTTGATGAGCACCTTCCCTATCTCTTTTCTGAAGTGCAATAAGTCTAGTTGTTTTTTAGTTGGGGACCAAGCAATTGGCAATTTTTTCTGTACTCTTACCAAGAATTTACAATTGTCATATCTACCGCATGAAATATCATTCTTAGTGTTCATTTTTTGCAGCGAATTTTTGTTCGGTATAATGATATAATGAAGTCAGCTGTGTCGACTCGCTCATTGAAGTATTGTATTCCTTCACTATTTGAGGTCGGTTCACTTCAATTTGTTGTGAAATAATTATCACAAAATAATGTGTATCTTCGTTGGGCTACATTTTTCGACAAATGTAACACTACTGCAGCTCATTGACCAAATTTTTTAGCTGTTATAGTATCTATTTTTGTTGTTTTCCCTTGATAGACAATAAAATTGTATGTTAGTTAGACCACTCGCACCACAAAATCGAAATAATTTTAAGCCCAATGGATGCGGTTTATTCTTTACTTACTGTTTTATATTTAATTGGCCTTCGAAATGAACCATTTGCTCATACACGAAAACAAAAGTCTTCCCTTCTAGCCTCTTGCATCTATTTAGGGTGGCCAATTTAGATTGGCGAACCAATCTAATTTGTTAACACAATGTAGATTGGTTGGAAGTTTGTAGAATCTATTGATGGATATTTGTTCGTGAACTGTTGTATATTTATATCCTTCATATCATCAGGTTAAGGATCTTAAATTCCTCTTAATTATAATATCTTCATCTTCATCGCTACAATTACTTTTAAGGTCTTTTATATCAGAAAGCCCATTTTCTAGATCTTTAAGAAGTGCATTTTTCGTTAAAAGAATTATCTTCGACATAATT